GTGGACCCCGGGGGGCGGGGGGGGGGGGGGAGCCACTCCCCCACCACCTGCAGAGGCTCACTTGTGGTCTGTGGCTCCCTCCCAGAGCCTGGTGTGGCCTGGTTTAGTGTCGCAGAGAAGATGGAGGGCTTCAGAAACTTCTCGGGTTCTGAATGCCAGGAGCCTCTAAGCTCCACCCTGCCGCTTGGTGGGGCCAAAGCCCACACCAGCCTCTTCCACCTGGGCGTGCTGGCTTCATTCTTGGCTGCTGCCTCTGCTTTAAATTTGGAAGGTGAAATCACCGTAGTCCGAGCTCTGGTTTCTGCTCAACGGCCCTGTTTGCTGAACTCCTCTAAATGACAGGCCTGAGGCCAGCCATGGCTGGGTGGGCAGACCCAGGGTCCTGGGCTTGGGCTAGGGTGAGCCCTGATAATGCTTGTAGCCAGCCTAAGCAGGGAGGCAGGAGAGTGTGTGGGAGAGAGGGACAAGGGGTTCTGGGGGGAGTCTCTGGTGTCCCCTCCCTCCTGCCCACAGGACCAGGGGGTCAGAACCTATTGAAGTGGGTGAAGCGAAGAAAGGACCCAACTGTCCCCCAGGCCTAGGGGCCCAATGCCATGCCATGACCAGGGACAGGGGCTCATGTTTGGCCTTGGGGAATACACCCAGCCAGGTGGCCTCTGACCCCCTCTCTTCCCAGATCCGCTGCATGCTCAACATCTGGGGCGTCATCCTCTACCTGCGGCTGCCCTGGATCACAGCCCAAGCGGGCATAGGTGAGTCTGCTTCTGGGGAGGACGGAGCCTCCAAGGCCCCACAGGAGCAGCCTTAGACTGGGGCAACAGGGACCCCAGAGCCACCACGGGCTCCTGCCCTGACAGAGGCTGGGGTGCAGCAGAGGCCCACTGGCTATGCAGCAAGGGCTCTCCCTGACGCTGCCCTCAGGAAGTCACGCAACTATTCTGAGCCAATTTCTGCTAAAGTACACCTGAGTTAGCAGCTTGTGCTCTGGGCAGACCAGAGTTCAGAAACTAGCTCTGAGCCTTGCTGTGTGACCTCGGTCAAGTTCCTTAACCCCTCTGAGCCTTGGTTTCCTCATCAGTAAAATGTGGCTGGTAACAATAGCTACCTTACAGAGCCATTGTGGGGTTCATATGATGCAGGCAAAACAGAGCACAAGATCTGGCACCCAGAGGTGTTCATCAAGTGGAAACGCTAAGGGGACTTCAAAAAGTTCACACACACACACAATGGAATTAAAGTATGGGTTTATTTTGGTGCAAAAATGTCAATATCCATGTATGGCTTTCTCATCATAGGCACTTTTTTCATTTTTGACAACTCCTTGTGTCACTTTATTTTCTAATATTAAAAGCGGGTCCCTTTTCTTCCATACTTGGTTGGCTCAAGAGCCCCTTGGCTATTTGGAATATTCCGGAGATCCATTTTGCAGATGTGAGAACAGGCTGAGAGAGGAGGGACATGACTTACGTTGCATGATGCATTGGTGGACAGACCCGGGGTCCTCCTGGGAGAAGCCCTGACTGCGTCTTGGGTGCTCATTGCTCCCCTCCCCCAGTCCTGACCTGGATCATCATCCTGCTGTCAGTCACGGTGACCTCCATCACAGGCCTCTCCATCTCAGCCATCTCTACCAACGGCAAGGTCAAGTCAGGTGGGCCCGCCCCAGCCCTCCTCTCGTGGCCTCTCCCTGACCTCACCCCAGGGGGGTTTCCGGACTGCCTCCACCAGCACACACACTCACCCGGGGCACCCCAGCTGCTCCTTAGGTTTCAGGTGGGGTCCAGGCTGGCTCTGCACACCACACCTTGGTATCTCCTGCCCTGTGGGACCCTGGTTGTCCCTTTGCCTGCCCCAAGGCCACACCTGCCAGCTGACACCTCATGGCACCTGGCACTGGCCCCAATAGGTGGCACCTACTTCCTCATCTCCCGAAGTCTGGGACCAGAGCTGGGGGGCTCCATCGGCCTCATTTTCGCATTCGCCAATGCTGTGGGCGTGGCCATGCATACGGTGGGCTTCGCAGAGACCGTGCGGGACCTGCTCCAGGTGAGGCCAGGGCTGGGTCCCAGGCAGAGGGAGCCCGGGCCCACCCCACTCTCCTCCACCCGATCTGGGCTAAGCTTTCCTGCCCCCTGCTGGCTTCATCTCTCTGGGACCAACGTCCTGGTCTGATGACCACAGTGACAATCAACAGAGACCATCCCTGCAAATCCCAGCAGGGGTGTAGTGACTTTAGGGCCAGATTGTGCAGGCTGTGCGGCAGACCCATGGGGACATGTTGGCAGGGAAGGGTGTCCTGTCATAGAGCATCCTAAGTCAGGTGCCTCCAAGGCAAGGTGTGGGTAGGGGGATTGAGGGCGGCATAGCCTGGCCTGTTCCCGCCCCCTAGGAGCACGGCTCACCCATCGTGGACCCCGTCAACGACATCCGCATCATCGGCGTGGTCACGGTCACTGTGCTGCTGGCCATCTCCCTGGCCGGCATGGAGTGGGAGTCCAAGGTGAGAACGGCGCTGGGAGAGGGGACGGCCAAGTGAAGCAGCAGGGGTCACCAGGCCTGAGCCTGCCCCTGGCTCTGCCTCCTATCAGTTAGGCACTAAGGTCTGCGGCTGTGACAAAGACACCCTCAGCCAGGGTGCCTTAAACAAGAGAGACTCTGCTTCTCTCGCATGCGATAGCCCGGGCATTTGGGTCCAGGGTGGGCCAGGTGGCTCCAGAGGGTTGGACACCCAGGCTCCTCCCAGTCTTGTGGCCCTTCCATCCCTGGCCCATGTGGCCACTGTCACCATGTCTGCAGTCCACTCAGAGGG